TCTATGCTTCTTGTGAGGTTAAAGGAATCCTACAGACTACCCAAGGAGGAACTACCTTTATCAAAATATCATAGCTTGCAAATGCTCGCTATGAAGTTTGAAAATCTAAAAATGAGGGATGATGAAAGCTTTTCTGATTTTTATGCTAGACTTTGCAAATTTCAAACTCTCTGTGTGCCCTTTGAAGGGAAATACTCAAATTCTGAACCTGTATGCAAGATTGTAAGATCTGTGCCTGAGAGATTTCAGGTTAAAGTCACTGCAATTAAAGAATGCAGGGACCTAAATGCTTGATGGATGAATAACAGGTGGCTTCCTCACAAACTTTTGAATAATGCGTCTTTCAAAGAAGAAGGAAAAATTCAAAAGAATTGCTTTTAGGGTTGAAGAAAAAGATGATGAAGATGAGGATAGTGAACTGGATGAAACTATGGCTAGGCTTACCAAACAGTTCAAGAAATCTTGAAACCAAGAAGTACTCAAACTCACCTTTGACCAAAAAGAAATTCTTTAACACTTATAAGAAGTTGTCCAACTACACTAAGAAACCTGAAACCCGTATACATTGTCACACTTGCGAGGGGTACAGACAGAGTGCCTTGAGAATGGGCAAACAATCGAAAGAAATCTTTAAAAATAAAGCAGTGACTGCAGACTGCTAGATGTAGTGATGACGACGAGGAATGACTTTCAACAGGAGGATGGGGTTGGAAATAAACAGGAAGGGAGTTGGGGGGTGGATTTGACTTTTTTAGACAAGTGTTCTAATAAAAAATAGATCTAAATAAAAAAATAGATGTAAAAAAATTCTATGTCATTATTTTGACTTTTTTAGACAGATGCTCTAATAATTAAAAGATTTGTTTCCCTGTGCATTCTAATTTAAAAAATTGGACTTTCCTTGTCCTTGATGCGAATATGAAATTTATTGCTGAAGTGTTTTAGAAATTTAAGAGGTATATGAAAAATATGGCAAATCACACATTGTGTCGGACATGGACATGTTACCCTAGTAAGAGTGTCGATGCTTCACTGTTATGAGTGAAGGCTGGTATCAATGCTTCCCCGTGCAGTAATACTGTGTTGTGTTGTCGAGCATATACTCTAATCGAAAGGCTTATCACTCTAGATATGAAAAGCTATCTTCAAACTTAATTCAAGAATTGAATCAAAAAGGTTAAGTGTTTAATTGCTTCTGCAACATCAGACATGTAACATTAATACTTATCAAAAAAAAGACATGTCTAACATTAACAATTTAACAGAACGTTGCAAAACTGCCAAATCAGAGTGGATAAAATTTAAAATTTATCCCTGTGACCTATTTAACCACCTTTTAGGTTGTTCTACCCTAGATTACACTTCATAGTTAGTATTGTGGGAGTATCCCATATATGCTGTTGGTGCCCCTGTGTCCACACCTCATTGACCACCTTATGCCAAAAAAATTTTGAGTTTGAGTAGTAAATTATCTGATGAATTAGCTTAAATATGTTTTGACTGTCACCGATTTTCATGTACTGAGCCTTAGACAATAGTTTAACTAATTACTCTTTTTCCTGCAGTTCCCTGTAGGTCGCATCCATCGACTCCTGAAGTCGAGAGTTACTGCTCATGGAAGAGTGGGTGCGACAGCTGCTGTCTATTCTGCAGCTATTTTAGAGTACTTAACTGCTGAAGTGTTGGAGTTGGCAGGTAATGCGAGCAAGGATTTGAAGGTAAAACGTATTACCCCAAGGCATTTGCAGCTGGCTATACGTGGTGATGAAGAACTCGACACTCTTATAAAAGGAACCATAGCTGGTGGTGGAGTAATCCCTCACATACACAAGTCTCTCATCAACAAATCCTCCAAGGATTAGATGGCATCCTTCCTAGTTTTACATTGTTTTGGCTCGAGGGGATTATGTGATGCTCTCTTGGGTTTTGCATTTATGGGCTTAGGCTGTGTACATTTCTAGATGTTTGGTTAATCGCAGGTTGTGAAGTTACCAATGGATGATTTATTTCTGTTTTTTGTCTTCTAGTAGGATACCTTCTGGGTGTAGGCATCGATTCAACTGTATTGCGAAAGTGCACTTGTGCGACAGGCCAGAGTAGTGTTTGTTATATATGGATTATTGTGGTTTTAGTATCTTCATAAATGCAATGTTTTCATATATCTGGTGAATTCGGGAATAATAAAGTTTATAATAGGCTTCAGATGAGTATGTTAGAGCTGATAGCTTTTTCTGATCCAGTTTTCCCTGCGGGTTGGTGGTGTTTGGGCCTGACCTGACCGCAAACCACAACAGAGGGCTGGCATTCTAGAGCAAGCGTTGTTGGTCTACTAATTTTGCACAATGGTATAGGATGAAGTTCTAATTGTTTCTGCCGTTTAGGTAATGGTATTTTTGCCATTCTTGTGGATGTATTCTGCTTTCTTAAATGAACCAGATGTGTACTGCTGCCTAATTAATGATTTATAGATTGAGTTGTGGCATGATGTCTCTTCGTTTATTGGAATAAAAGTTCAGTTATTGTAAATTTATTTGAGGCAAATGTTTGTATGGATGTAGCTCAGACAAAACATGGTATAAATGTATGCCGAAGGAAATATATCCTCGATCTTTTAAAAGAAACTGGAATGGTAGGATGCAAGCTTGCCGCCACACCTATGGATCCCAATCACAAGCTAGTGCCAGTGGACATGGACAGGCACTAAAGACTTGTGATTGTGAAAGACTAGTCCACTTATCCTGTACTTGACTGGATATAGCACATGTTGTTAGTGTTAGTCGTTCGGGCTACTGTACCTTTTCTGGAGGTAATATGATAACTTGGAGGAGCGAAAAACAGCAAGTTGTAGCGCGATTAAGCGTTGAAGCTGAGTTTTAGATACTGGCTCTAGGGATTTGCGAAGTTTCATGGATTAAAAACCTTCTTAAAGAGCTAAGATTGGAGCCTAAAGAACTACAACAGTGTCTTGTGATTACAAAGCTACAATAACCCATTTCAACACGACAAAACAAAAGTACGTTCAAGTAGATATACCCTTCATAAAGGAAAAGATTTAAACTGGGACCATTCTAAGTGGGAGTGCAGATTTATGTCCAAAGGGCAGTCCATTAGTAGAGCAACCCAATTTTCATTTAATTCTATAATAGACAAGTTGGGATTACATAACATCTACACACCTGCTTGCTTGAGGGGGAGTGCTGAAAAACTTGGTGCTAATAAATCTGATTTTATTTCATTGTTTTTAGTTTTTTCCTAATTTAGTTGAGTCATAGCTGTTAGGAACATTGTTTTATCGATTGCAGGAATTTAGTTAGACAGTTTCCTTGTTTATATATGTTCTTCTATCCATATTTTAGAGAATAAAATGAATACATTTTCTATTCTCCAAAACCCGCCTGTTTGATAACCATTATTTTTTAGAGAAGTTGGAAAACTTTTTCCTCTTTCCAACAAATGTGGTGTTTGATAGGTTTTATTTTCTAGGGAATTGGTTTTCTTGGTTGAAGCCTTGCGCGTCTATTTTCCACCTAATTGTTGAATTGATTTTCTTGCCTTTGTTGTGTAAAACTTTTCCAGCTTTTTTTTTTTATTTTTTTGGCAATTGAAAAAAATTCTAAACACAATGGTAAAAAAAAAAATTTCACTTTTATTGACAATTTTCATGCAAAACAAAGTCAAACCAATAGTGTTGGGTATGATAATTTTTTTTTCAATTTTTTTTTTTTTTTTTTGCAATTGGAACAAATTTTAGACCCAATGGTATATCACTTCAATGGACAATTTTCATAAAAAAAGAAGCCAAACGGACACCAAATTTTCAATATTAATTCTAGATCCAATGATAGAAAAATTATCACTTTAATAGACAATTTTCATAAAAGATGAAGCCAAATGGACACCAATTTTCAACATTTTTTAGGTGAAAAATTATATCAATCAAACATAATTAATTACAATTCTCAATAAAACAATTTCTAGACAATTCAATTCCCACACATTTTTCATATTTGCAATCAAACAGACCCTTAGTAAACAATGAATTTCAAGAATAATATTGTTCTCTCTCTCTATTGTTACTATTCTCATAGTATGTAAATTTTAAAATAAATATTTATAGTAATATAAATTAAATACGAGTAAATTGTTTATTGATAATAACGTTAAAGTCTGGATGACAGCTTGTCTAAACTAGTACACCAAGAAACTGAAGATTGTACGGAGAGGCTAAAAGTAAACCGGAGATACAAGCTTCGCACAAAATGATTAAATAAAAAGGGGAAATCACCAATTGCGTGTTCCACTTGACACTGTAAGGTAGAAAAATAAACTAAAATTTTGAATAATAATGATAGAAAAATTATCACTTTAATGGACAATTTTCATAAAAAATGAAGCCAAATGGACACCAATTTTCAACATTTTTTAGGTAAAAAATTATATCAATCGAACATAATTAATACAATTCTCAATAAAACAATTTCTAAGCAATTCAATTCCCTAAAACATATTTTCTTCCTACACATTTTTCATATTTGCAATCAAATAGACCCTTAGTAAACAATGAATATCAAGAATAATATTGTTCTCTTTCTCTATTGCTACTATTCTCATAGTATGTAAATTTTAAAATAAATATTTATAGTAATATAAATTAAATACGAGTAAATTGTTTATTTTCATAATAACGTTAAAGTCTGGATGACACAGCTTGTGTAAACTCGTACACCAAGAAACTGAAGATTGTACGGAGAGGCTAAAAGTAAACCGGAGATACAAGCTTCGCACAAAATGATTAAATAAAAAGGGGAAATCACCAATTTCGTGTTCGACTTGACACTGTAAGGTAAAAAAATAAACTAAAATTTTGAATAAAATTCCTCGAGTCTCATAGAGACATTACCAATGAATGGCTAACCCCACAAGCTTCTGATCCAAAAAACTAGTTTATGCTTCATCAAAGCAAAGTAAAAATCAATCTAGTAGGAACTAGATCCAAATGGTCATTTCTTTGTTTGGGATTGAGTAATGAACTTGGTAACAACAAAGCAATCCGGTGGGGTAATATTTGTATAGTAGTTCTGAATGGTTTCCGTGATTTCAAATCCGAATTTCTTGTAGAAGTTGATGGCATCCTCGTTGTTCGTCTGAACGTGCAAGTAGATCTCACCAATATTCTGCTTCGCACAAAGATCAAGCACGTAACTCAACAGCTTTGTGCCTAGATACACCAGAACTAAATTAATTATTGTCAAATAATATCACCTTGCTCTTGAAACTAAGACTAGCAGATTACTTACCAATGCCTAATCCACGGTATGGTGCCAAGACACCCAATGTCATTATGTATACACGAATAGCACCACCTTCCTTCTTCTCGAGACGGCATGCAATTGATCCAACACAAATGTCACTGTAATATGCTGGAAAAACGAAAGAACCACAATAAGAGATATCTGAATGGACAACGAGCATAACATAACATGAGGCAGATAGTTATCACCTCTGTTTGGTTACTATATATATAATTTTTTTTTTTTTTTGGGAATTTGTTACTTTAGAAAAAACTTAAGAGCGCCATATAGAAATCTGAGAAACGTGATTATTAACATTCAGGAAAAGAAAAACTAGTAACATATGGGATTTTAATACCTATAGTTACTTTTACACTGTTAAATTTGTTTCACGCAAATAGTTGTGTGTTACACCATTCAAATTGTGCCATACTTTCGGGAGAATGAGAGAATCATTCAAATGCATCCTAATATTTGATGGAATATTCTGCTAACAAAAGGGTGCTGTAACAGGACGCAGTGACACCTTAAAATGGAACTACATAGCGAGATTTCCACAAAGTCATTCAAGTCAAAAGAGATACATCCGACAATCCCAAATCATACAATATTCTTGTACACATGTAACCTGTAGATAAGATTTAAAATGAAAAAGGCAGAAAGATGAAAAGAGGCACGATAATATGAGACCAACAAGAAGACACGAATTCAAGTTACTCTCAACAGTTTGAAGGAGACAGATTGCAAGTTAAATAGCAATATGACATCACTTTAAATTGACTCTATACGACTTATTTAAAAATACAAGTTGGTAATTCTCATCCAGCACATCAACCGCTGCTATCATTGTTATCTCTAACTTTCATCGCTATATTTCTACAAGTATGATGCATTTTCACAATGACATAATTTCAACTAAATAAATTTATTCGGAATGTTGAGCTTTATTTCGAAATCAGTACGTGGTGGCCTGGTGGGTAATAATAAAATTCAAGTCATAATTCTTTGCCATTCTTTTAATTTTATATCTACCGCTAGAATTTCAAGGACAAACCTTGTCCATTTTCAATGGTACCTTAAGAGTTTACATCCCTAGTTTGTAGTTCTACACATCCTTTTAGGTACATATCAATATTTTCTCCAAATAATAAAGCAATTCTTTACTTGGTTTCACCAATATGTTACTACATTACATGTCAATAATTTAAGCATCATTAGCTTGAAGTCATTTATTAACTTCGAAAAACTGGAGCAAAAAGCTTTGTTCATGTTTTAACTACCCAGATGCCAAGGTTATTTCAATGCAGTTGGAAAAGTCAATTAAGAGAGACTTCCAATGCTTGCAAGTGTTTTTAAAGTTTATGTTGCTGCAATTTCCCTATTAGTAAGGCATAGTGCACCATCTTGAGATCATTCTCTTTATTATTCTTTTTTTTTTTTTTTTTTTCTTTATTTTTTTTTTTTTATTTTTGGCTGTTAGGGTTTAGTATGTTATACCTTGTACACATGTAACCTGTAGATAAGATTTAAAATGAAAAGGCAGAAAGATGAAAAGAGGCACGATAATATGAGACCAACAAGAAGACACGAATTCAAGTTACTCTCAACAGTTTGAAGGAGACAGATTGCAAGTTAAATAGCAATATGACATCACTTTAAATTGACTCGATACGACTTATTTAAAAATACAAGTTGGTAATTCTCATCCAGCACATCAACCGCTGCTATCATTGTTATCTCTAACTTTCATCGCTATATTTCTACAAGTATGATGCATTTTCACAATGACACAATTTCAACTAAATAAATTTATTCGGAATGTTGAGCTTTATTTCGAAATCAGTACGTGGTGGCCTGGTGGGTAATAATAAAATTCAAGTCATAATTCTTTGCCATTCTTTTAATTTTATATCTACTGCTAGAATTTCAAGGACAAACCTTGTCCATTTTCAATGGTACCTTAAGAGTTTACATCCCTAGTTTGTAGTTCCACACATCCTTTTAGGTACATATCAATATTTTCTCCAAATAATAAAGCAATTCTTTACTTGGTTTCACCAATATGTTACTACATTACATGTCAATAATTTAAGCATCATTAGCCTGAAGTCATTTATTTACTTCGAAAAACTGGAGCAAAAAGCTTTGTTCATGTTTTAACTACACAGATGCCAAGTTTATTTCAATGCAGTTGGAAAAGTCAATTAAGAGAGACTTCCAATGCTTGCACGTGTTTTTAAAGTTTATGTTGCTGCAATTTCCCTATTAGTAAGGCATAGTGCACCATCTTGAGATCATTCTCTTTATTATTATTCTTTTTTTTTTTGTCCTGTGTGGGCGGGCAGGCAGGTGGGTGGGTGGGTGATGCAACATGGAAAGTATATTCTAGACGTAAACGGAATCAAATCAATTAAAGATAAAATTTTCTTTATTGCATTTTATTATTTTTGGTAGAATAGTGAGTTTGTCTCCTTTTAAAAGGAAATCCTAGTTTCCCTTTTTAGTTGTAATTTTCCTTTTCAATGTTATTTAGAACCTATAAAATGAGGCTCTTTGATTGTAAGAAGACACACATGAATATCAAATAAAACTACAATCTTTCCCTCATTTCTCTCTTCTTACTCAATGCGCTCAACAAATACAGTTATGGCTAATAAATTAATAATAGCTCTTTACAGAAGCAAAGTGTACAGCATGGAAGTTGATTCAAAACTCTGAATACATTTGTTAGGTAGAATAGAACAACTAGCATTAGTAATAAAAAAGATCTATGCAATGAAGTAAGAACTTGAAAATTCAAGAAACCACAAGCATAAAGCAGAAAGTTTAGATGGTAGGAAGTACGGTGAAACATAGACCAATGAATACTTTTCCAAGTTGCTGCAAGATTAACGAAATGCTAAACATTTTGTGTTCATGCAACAAGAACTGACTAGTTCATTGATAAGTGCATTTTTTTGCAATTATTCTGGTCATATTTGATATTACTAAATTTTTGTATCATTTTAGTATTGGAATTTAATTAACTTGGGTTAATTTTATCTTATTTCAGTTTTTGGATCCGTTTCTAAGCAATTGGAAAAGAAAAAGGATCAATCGGCCAATGGATGGAATTTTGGGACTAACATGCATTTGAGTAAAAGTTGAAGTACTTAAAATGAAAGTAATTTAATGTGGAGGACTAAGATGGAAGAAAGAATGAAGAGAGGGCTAAAAGGAAAATTCTTGAAGTTTTTATAATTGGACAGCCATCCAGTTATATAGGTCGGACGGCTGTCTGACCCTTAACCTTAATTACTGGGGCTATTTAGTATGCCAGGACAACCGCCCCGTTTAATATTGGGCGTCTGCCCAAGCCAATTCGGATAGAAAATTCTGTTTCCTTCAGAATTCAATTCCAATAAGAAAACTTTCGTTTGGGCCATGATACGTACGATTTTTGGAGATCTTTTGGGACTCTTTAGATTGATTATAAATACCAACTCTCAAAATATAATTAGGAGGGTGGAGGAGGCAAAAAACACATCAAGATTCAGAGTGTGTTTGGGAGAAATTTTTATGGAATTTTAATCAAAATTATAGTCGTTAAAGTCAACCCGTGGGCTCCACCTATGAGAGGGAATGTCAAAAATGGTGGCTGATTTGATAGTTAACGGCTAGATTTTTTATTAAAATCTTGATTAAAATTTCTCCCAAAGAGGGCCTCAAATCCAAGAAGTTCAAGATTAAATTTAAGAATTTCCAGGTAATAAACGACCATTATATCTTTTGCTTTCTTCTTCATAACATATTAGGCTAGATTTATTTGTGTTAGAAAAACGATGAACCTTATAATATGAATTTTTAATCTTTAGTTTTACATATTTGACATTGAAAATACTTTTTGGATTTTAAATGATTTACATTATTATCTTTTCTCTACGATTATTGTGCACGGTAATTATATGAATTTGATGGCTTATTTTATGCATTCAAAAGAAAGAAAATATGTTCAACATGGTTTAAATTTTCATAAAGTCCGATAAAGAATAGAAATATATCACTATACTCTATGTGAATCTTTAAGTGTTCATAAAAATTCATGCATTCTTGTATATATACATCCGTCATAAAAATACACATGGATCATATACGAAAATAGATTTGACATTACTCGAGAGAGATTGTTAAATAAAATAGAAACATTGATTCATCAAAATTCAATCATGTTGTCAAAGTGTAGAACTAATGTTAAAAGTGATTATTGCATTGAAATTCGGGATCCTAGTGTATTTGTCATTTATTAAACACATCAATTCACATTTAACATAATTTGCATTTAGTTTAGTTAATTTGGTCACAATTGCATAAGTAAATTATTTTAGTCATAATTTTGTCACGATCAAACACACCATATTATTCGTGTTTCAGTTAAGGTCGATATAATTAAAATTGAACTAAATCAATCTATGTGAGACGATACTTGAACTCAAATCCACTTTATCACTTATTAACGAACCGTACACTTGCGGTGATTTTAATTTGAAAGATATTTTTGTGAACAAAAGAAGAATCAGAGAAAACTAAATATAAACAAAAAAAGACGATCAGAATCACATTTTGGATTAATCAGGACCTTAAACTCCTTACAGCATTTAGGTAATCAGCAATAAACAATTTCATGCACAAAATGAGAACTAGCTATTTCATCCAAATGACACCAAAGAAAAGTCATCTGATAAAGCTGAAGATAAGAAAAAAGAAACACTTCCAAGCAATAAATGATTATTAGTCCACAAAAACAGTCCCGGTAAAAACCTGAAATAATAAGTTTGTGTACATGAAAAATAAAGCAACAACTAGTTGAATTAGTCGGTAATGAAGCCAAACCCGAACAAAGAATTGGATAAAACAACACAAAAAGAGAAAGGATAAAGGAAGATCTCATATCAAAATGAGCCTGAAATCCAGTAAAACATTCCATTAAACATCAATACTTTATACTGGTTAATATGCAAGCAGAACAAAAATCCCTAAATCACTAAATAAACACTTAAACTGAACCTATGCTAAAAAATCCAACCAAAAGCAAAAATGTCACTATATTTTCCCATTTATGAGCTTAAATCCTCTAAAAGACCCAGAAATCAGCGTTAATAAGTGTGGTTTTTTTTTCCCCAACAGCTAATATTAAGGCAAAACAAAAAATGTCCAGTTGACAAAATTGATTAAACAATATATTTATCCAGCAATATAACACCAAATCCTGAAAACATAGGAAAAATCAAATAAAATCAGACATCATTTGTCCCTATTATAAAAAACGGCAAAACAAGAAAATCCCAATTAATAAAATGACAAAAAAAACCAAAGAAGTTAAATCTGACCTAATTTGGTAAATTCACCGGAGGTGAGAGCATCGGCATAGTACTTATCATTGTACCGGACCGGGAAAAGGGCAGTGTTAAGCTTTTTCAACTGCATCAAATTCTTGTCCCTCACGCCGTCCAGTGATATCGACGCATCCCTTCCTCCTACCCCCATTGTATGTATGTGCGTGTATACCTATATCTGCATGTATATATATAAAACACAAAAATTGGAAAATCGATTAGATTTAAAGACAAAAATACCACGTATTGTTAAAATGTGTGTGTGGAGAGAGATTAAATTGAAGAGATTACTGAGCTTAGAAGAAACCTGAGAAATTTTGATGGTTTTGACCTTTGGGGGACTTCGGAAGATGAGAGGAAATTTAGCGGAGCGGCAGTAGAAAATTTGGGTTGGAACTCAAACGACGGCATTTTAGTGCACGCCTCTTTCAGGCTTCTACGAAATACCGAGTTTGTCCTCAATTACTTTTGAGAAGGGTTGCGTAGGGATGGGGTACTGGGTGTTGTAATTTGTACATGAATAACGTTATAATAATGTTAGGATAAATCTATATGTACATAATTATTGTACATAATGAATTACATAGCCCATGTGGAAGAAATCCGGCCGTGGACGTGAAGTGTGGAAAAGTCAAAAATTGTAAACTACCAATGGATGCGCGCCACATGTCAATTATGTAATACATTATGTAAATGATTATGTACTTGTAGCATGATCCATAATGTTATGGGTAATGCTAGAGGTTCGTTACACTGTCCATAAAAGTGTCTATAACGTATAATTGACGATTTTTTGACTCTGAAAACCAATTTCTCGCATCAGTAAAAAAAAAAAAAAAACTTTCCCTTTAATTGGAATTAAAACCCTAGGCATTTCCCGTTTCATCCCAACTCTCCCGCTCCCGACACAGTCGACTCAATCCGACACACACCCATGAAATGGATTATTTATCGGACCAATTTCTCTTATTATCTGATGTGCTAGTCGGTGGATTTGAAAATGCCACCGGCTCAAATGGTAATATTTTTTCCTTTCCATTCAAAATGTAATGGTAGACGAACCATGTTATGTTGTTAACACATGATTTTCCTTCTTCCTCCATCTCAATAGAGAATGAAACCTAAAAGGATGGAGAGTCACATAATGTTTCCGACAACATGGTTGACAAGAACACTAGTTTGTTTATTCGTGAACTTTAGAGAAACTTTTTTAATATACCCAATGACAATAAGGGGTCAGATTAAATTATAGGAATTTTCGTGTTTAAAATGCCTCACTGATGAGTGATCTATATATTTATATGACCTCTACCCTACTTGCATATCATTGTATGTTTGATTTTAAAACAAATGCTCATACATGCTGTTAATTTAAAGCTTAATGTGAAATGTTATTCTTGCAGGAATGAATGTTACCTCATCTAATTTTGTGGGCAGCGATTGTTTGGCTGAGGAAATGTTAGGTGTTGAGAATAAGATATTCGTGCCTAAGGTTGGTATGAAATTTGCGGACAAGACCGGGGTATTTGAATTCTACAAGAGATACGCTTATCAAGAAGGGTTTCTTGTTAGAAAATGAAATACAAAGAAGGGAGATGACGGGATAATACGGTATGTAAGTTTTACTTGTAGTCGAGAAGGGCGACGAAACCATAAGAAAAGTACTTCTTTGAATCCTCCACCAACAATGGAAACTTTGTATAAAACCAGATTGACTGTGTGTTCTGATGCATGTGGAATATTTCGAAGAAAACGTTGTGCATTTAGAGCATAACTATAAAACAAGTTCATCTAAGTTTGGGTTATATAGATGTAATCGACAATTTATAACGTGTTCAAAGATGGCTTGAGGCGAATGGCATAGCAGGAATGCTTGTGCATAAAAGCTTTAATTCAACTGTAGTGGAGGAGGGTGGTTTTGATAACATGATATGTGTTGAAAAAGATTGCAGAAATTTTATCGAGAAAGTGTGACGTTTAAGACTTGAGGAAGGAGATGCTACTACAATACAAGCATATTTTTCGAGAATGCAAGCACGTTATCCTGGTTTTTTCTTTAGTATGTACTTGGATGAAGAGTGTCGCTTGAGAAATATTTTTTGGGCAGATAACAAATGTCGGGAAGCATATAAGGAATTTGGGGATGTCATTACTTTTGACACTACATACCTCACTAACAAATATAATATGTCGTTCGCTCCTTTCGTAGGGACGAATTACCATGGGCAATCAACTCTTCTAGGTGTGGATTGTTTCGAAGGAAAATACTAACACATTTGTTTGGTTATTTAGGAAATGATTAGCATGCATGAATGACCAAACTCCTAAACAACACATAATGTAAAACTTTTCACACTCAAAACACGTGGTAATGTCCCAATAAAATTTCTTGTTTTCTTATCCAATCTAGCATATTACACATGTGAAAGTATGAATTGTAAGTTTCAATTGTGCACTCAAATCACAAAGCTATGCCATGGGTGAAGGAAAATCCATACCGAGTGTAGCTTAGAAACACTGTAATACTACCGTCTAAGCAAATATTAGAAATCAACTAGCAATATGATCTAACGGTGATCCAAAATGAGAAAAAAGGAAAGGACTAGTTAAAACGAGTTTTCCGACAATTTCTCATCAGGTTGATTATGTAGATCAAAACACAACTAACTACTCATATTTTGCAACAATGCCTTCAAAGATGCCACGTGAAACTGAAATCGAAAAAGAATCGAAACCCATTTATGAAGAACTGAAAAATGAAACTCATTTTTGAAGGATAGTTGCAAATTAATGATACCATCGTCGATTTTCTAAGATACCGATGTCGACCTCGTACTCTTTGTTCGCTCATCATCAGCCAGAGGAGATCTATATAAGAGAGTTGCTAAAAAGGGCAGCTGGGATTTGGATCAAGTGGAGGGAGGGTTTTCCTAGATTGAGTCGCCTATGTCGGGAAATGTGGGAGAATTGGAATGAAACGGGAAATGCCTAGGGTTTTAATTCCAATTAAAGGGAAAGTTTGTCCCTTTTTTTTACCAACGCAAGAAATTGGTTTTCAAGTAAAAAAAAAAAAGGTCAGCTATACATTATGGACACTGTTATGGACAATGTAACGTATCTCTAGCATTACCCTAATGTTATTTAGCTCAAATGGGGTACTGAGTGTTGTAATTTGTACATGAATAATGTTAAAATAATGTTATTTAGCTCAATTGAGGTTGTAACTTCAGTGTAGATGACTCTAGATGATACACTAAATGAAAGATGAAATTAAATAAGTGATTTAATTTCACTTATCATTTAATGTCGCATTAGCGCTACTTAAACTGGGATTACAACTCCAATGTTGTTAAATAATATTACTCATAATGTTATCTAGTATCAGTAGTGTTAGAGTGTCAATTTATGTGGCATTACGTGATAAGTTCATTTAAAGGTGAAATTGTGTGTGTGATGCATTTAATTGAACCTATAATTTAATATCATTAGTGTTGTCACCTAAATTGGCATTAAGCACCAGTGGTACTAAAGTTATATAATAGTTTGCATAAAGATGAGGTGTTAAAAATGGAGTGATGTAATCTTTTTTTTATTTATTTGGTTGAAAAATTTTGTCCAATCATATCTCACAACATCATAAGTATGTAAACGATTGTATAAACTATTATATACATGCAACACAACTGTAATGCCCTGAGTTTCGGGAACCCGGATTGCCACGTCATATTCTTTTGTAACTGAATTAACTAAAAAGATTTGCGAAAAATAACTAAATTTTAAACATCACATTTATAACGGTAAAACCTCGTCGTAACAAAACTCATTTGATTAACTTAAGAAATTTGATTAAACTTTAAATTGGGATGTTTTTGAAATAACTGAAATAACAAAGTACGTTAATAACATTCAAATACGTAAATTTAAAAGTAAATATCGTCATCCATTAAATCGTTGCCACCTTAATTTATTATTTCATAAATAGAAATTTAAAATTTTTTAATAGAAGTCTGATTTTGGAAATTTCAAACTTGTTTTCTTATTTTTGAAATATGCTAATCTTATTCTCTTGAAAATGAAATTTTCCCATAATGTTATGGGTAATGCTAGAGGTTCATTACACTGTCCATAACAGTGTCTATAACGTATAATTGATGATTTTTTTATTTTGAAAACCAATTTCTCGCACCAGTAAAAAAAAAAAAACTTTTCCTTTAATTGGAATTAAAACCCTAGGCATTTCCCGTTTCATCCCAACTCTCCCGCTCCTAACACAGTCGACTCAATCCGACACACACTGATGAAATGGATTATTTATCGGATCAATTTCTCTCATTATCTGATGTGCTAGTCGGTGGATTTGAAAATGCCACCGGCTCAAATGGTAATATTTTTTCCTTTCCATTCAAAATGTAATGGTAGACGAACCATGTTATGTTGTTAACATATGATTTTCCTTCTTCCTCCATCTCAATAGATAATGAAACCTAAAAGGATGGAGAGTCACATAATGTTTCCGACAACATGGTTGACAAGAAGGCCAGTTTGTTTATTCGTGAACTTTAGAGAAACTTTTTTAATATACCCAATGACAATAAGGGGTCAGATTAAATTATAGGAATTTTCGTGCTTAAAATGCCTCACTAATGAGTGATCTATATATTTATATGACATCTACCCTACTTGCATATCACTGTATGTTTGATTTTAAAACAAATGCTCATACATGCTGTTAATTTAAAGCTTAATGTGAAATGTTATTCTTGCAGGAATGGATGTTACCTCATCTAATTTTGTGGGCAGCGATTGTTTGGCTGAGGAAATGTTGTAAGTGTTATGCCCTAGGTCCAATCAACTTTGGACATAAACACTTTGAATATATATAATCAATGCATATATATGGCAATATCTATTATTTAATTGAATTAATATTCTAATAAATTAAATAATAGAATCCGTAGATTCAAGTCTTGGTGATTTGTTAATCACAAGGAGTTGTGATTGTGAGATACAAATTACATATGACTGAATCTTAAATCG